GTGAATAAACTATTTTGAAGATTGGACTAAGGATTAAAGATTGGACATTTACTTGTGGTAACTCTTCTTTCCAGTATTTTTAATTCCACCCATTTAGTTAGTTCCTCACAAGTAGAGACAATTAGGTTCTTTAAAAAAAAGAATTTTTTTTACTTTTGTCAATCATAATAAAATTCACCCTCCACTTGGACATTTACTAACAAGATAATAAATTCAAACAAGAGCTTGTTTGTTAACCTTAATTTAAAAAATAAAAAGATTTTATTTTAAGCATCTTTTTGTAGTTGCTTTTAATTCCTAGAGTTGCATTGCATATAATAGTAGGAATTCACCCAAGTGATTTGAACATCTTGATTTGACACTCACTTGAAAATATTCTTAAGGGCAAAACCCCTAATCAAGGTAAGGTGAGGGATTCATCAACCTTTTCTTAGCCCACAAATCACTAATTCCTCACTCCACAAACCCAAGCCTTTTAAAACTCATTAGACATTGGCTCTTAAGGACTCGAGCTCATTAATGAACAATAAATCCTTAAGTGAACCGGTTTAAGTTTACTTGAATCCATTTGTGTATAAGGCAAGGTTTAGGGATTGCGTAAAGTACTCCGCAAGGAACAATGTACTTAATTGATATTTGATCTCCCTCTAGTACTATTCTTACTTGGCTAACTGATCAAGTAAACTTCAATCTTTTTACTGAATGAGTTTTTGGTTAGGAGCTGGTCTAGTTGAGTCTAGGCTTAACCCTCGAATTAAGAGTGATTGACACAAAGTGATTGCTCTTGATTTATTTAGTTAGATTTTTCTTTTATCCTTTTTCACTTTCATTTAGATCTTTTAGTTAAAAAAAACAGAAAAAACTTTTATTTTCTTTGAATTTCTTTCAAAAAATCTAAAAAGAATTTGTTTTAGTGTATGCAACTTTGGATTAGGGATAATACAAATCGTTCAATTTTTATTGAACCGTCTTTTTAGACAAATGACATGGCTAATCCACCCGTTCTTCAATATATATGTTACCCAACTAAAAATACAATCCCATCTTGCATTAAGCTTTCCAAGGTCAATGGAACTAATTTTGAGCTTAGACCGTATTACATAAACATGCTTCCAAAATTCTTTGGAAATGAAACCGAAGACAATTACATTTTGAGTTTGTAGAAGTTTATCTTATGATTAAGATTAGAGAACTATCTAAGGATGCAATTAAGCTTAGATTCATTCTATTTTCCCTTAAAGAGAAAGCCAAGAAATGGCTGTATAGCTTACCTACAAATTCTATCTCAACTTGGGATGAATTTGTCACCTTTCCTCTGAAGAAAATTTGTCCTATCCACAAAACAGTTAAGTTTAGAAACAACATTCAAAACTTTAAGATAATCCCAGAAGAGCCATTCTGAAAGTATTTTAATAAATTTGGGATCTTCTTATCTAATATCCTCACCACGGTCTTGAGAAATGACGATTATTGTCAAATCATCTACGAAGAAATTGGATTATTCTTCAAAAACTTCCTTAGAATCAATGTGTCAAGGGGATTTCATGAAGAAAAATACCAATGAAGCTTAAAAATTTTTAGAGAGTTTATCTGAGAAAACCATACAATTGGAATACTGTGATGACAAGGTTTCATCAATTCCCCAACCCAAATTTAGTGGTCTATCCCTAGAGATAAACATAGCCTCTGAAGCAAAGATGGGTACAATCATGCATAGGTTAGAAGCTTTAGAAATCAAAGGATGAGCTCCAGCTCAAATCAATCAACTTTCTATCTCAGGTTATCACAACTGTCTTTCTCCATCTCATGTTTCAGAGAAATGTTCATTCTTAGAAAACAATCAACCACTAGGCCAGATAAATGCTGCATTCTAGCATCTTGTGAATGACCCATTCTCTCCAACTTATATTCCAAGTTAGAGAAATCACTCAAACTTTGTATGGAATCAGGAAAACTACTACGAATATTAAAACTTCACTCCCTCTTCAAACCAACAATTTACTAGAGGAAACACAGTTCCTTTCTATTTTCAAAATTATTTTCAGCAACCAAATATGCCATATCCAAATCAATCTCCTCACCATCAATATTTACATCATATTCCTCCAAGTTCTAATTATGATAAACGTCTCAATATTCTAGAAAAGGATTTTGAGACCATGATTAAAGCTTCTACACAGACCACCAACTTGTTGACTCAAACATACAACACTTCGAATTCCTTCATACAATCAACTGCACAAATTCTCAATTTCAACACCCAAGCCATAACTAGGTTAGAAACCTTACTTGCTCAACTAGCTAGTGCTATAAGTGAGAGAGAAATAAAAATTTCTTAGTCAGCCGATGCCCAATCCTAAGAACACTGAATCAAGTTCAACCCACCAAGCTCAAGTGAATGAAATCCATTCACTAAGGTCAGGAAAATAGGTCGATAATCAAGTTAGCATGCCTCCTAGTAAAACTCTTGAACCTAAACAAATTCTTTCTCCTTCTGATAACTCTATTCAGTAATCACTCCCTTCTAATGACCAAGAGCCTAAACCCGAACCTGAGCCTAATTTTGTTAGGTATAAACCAGTTGCTCCCTTTCGGGATAGACTAAGACCTAGGAAATACTCCCCTCAGGATAAGAAAATTCTAGAAACTTTCAAACAGGTTAAGATCAACATTTCTCTCCTAGAAGTAACTGAACAAATCCCTTCTTAAGTAAAATTTGTAAAAGATTTGTGCAATAAGAAGAGAATAATAAATATTCTGAAGAAAGTCTTTCTTGCTGCCAATATTAGTGATATACTCTCAAAACTTATACCTTTGAAACATAAGATACGGGTTGTCCTACCATCTCATATGTTATTGGAAATAGCTTCATTGATAAGGCACTTTTAGACTTAGGGGGCAATATCAATTTGCTCCCTTATTCAGTCTATCAGCAATTAGGTATAGGAGAACTAAAACCATGAATCTTGAGTTTGAGGAAATTTCTAAAGAAAAACTGATTGTATTAGGACAAATTTTCATTAATAAGGAATCTAAGTTTAAATCTGAGGCTTTTAAAATGCATAACACCATTGATACCTACCTTCAATTACTACAAAATTTATTGGAGCCTTTGGAATACACATAATTTAAGCACCTTTTTGAGTTTGTCATTTTAGACTTTTTTAAACTCCAGGGTAGAATTTTATAGTAATAAAATATCATTTGATGTAGAATACGAGCTGTTCATGTTCAATTTGTTATTCTACATTTTCACTCTTTGTCTCATAATAATAAAAATAATAAAAAGAATTTATTCTTCTCTCATTTGAGAGTTTTTTATTTTTTTTTAAAAAAATAAGAAAAAACAAAAAGAAAAAAAAGAAAAATAGATGTGAAAAAAACAAAAAAAGAGAAGAAAAAAGAGCTATGAACCTGTGACGCCCCTGGTTTCACACAAAATTGTAGTCCAAGATAAACCCAAAAATGTAAAACCTGCCATGCACTCAACATTGTGCAACAACATGTTTCATCATTATAGTAATATCTCTCTAGTGGAAGTCAACAAAAGAAATGTGGGTACAAGCAGATAGAAAAAAGGTAAAAATACAATGAACATAGTATAGAGAAGAGATCCAATAATAAATATAATCATGTTCCAATAGAAGAAAATAAGTACATCTAAAAATCTAAAATAAGAATAATAATTCTCTAAACACAAGAGTCAACTAAAAATAGTACTAAGGCACTCAGCCTCAAACATGAAATACATCTCTAAAGAATGAAAACAAATAATAAGTTACCGTGGAGCACTAATTAACAAATAAAACTTGATTTAGTATAATTAGGGTTTAATTTTCCACATGAAATCACAATATAAAGATTTGGGGAAATCTATAAAACTCTAACATGTTTATGTTTGAAAATCATCATGAAAACAAATAACTTTAACAAAATCTCATATTAGATCTACTTCAAATCTTAAACCCAGATCAAAGAATCTATTTTATAACTTTTTAAATTAGAAAGATCAAATCTTTACGTTATACAGATAAAAGGGGTAATCTTTACACATAAAATAGGTTTTAAAATCCAATAAAAACTAAGAAAACACGGATGGGATTGGAGGAGATGAAACTCGTCTCAAAATTTTCATGCTGAACTCCCACACACTCAAGAACTCGATCCTCCCTCACCGAAGCTGTCGATCTTACTATCCACTTGGCCTTTTTTGCTTCTTAAATCTCTCCAAATACTCAAACTGATGGATTAGGGTTTTGAGAGGAGGTGGCTGTTATTCAGAATGTGAAAGATGAAAGAAAAGAGAGAAATTCGGGTATAATCATATAAATATATATGATCAAAGAAGACCCGAACTGATCCAATCCGAAACCCAAATCTGTGCACCCATCAGTCGACCGATGCTAATAATCAGTCAACCGACCAATGTCCATCGGTCGACCTATTGCTAGGGTCGGTCGACCGACCAGAGGTGTTTTTAGCCGACAGTTTTTCATGTTCATACACATTTATACACATGTATATTTATTTATATGTACTTAATCGATCTCAAATCGATTATAATCATGTTCATTTATCCCAGAACAATATCAACCATAATAAAACTCATTTAATATTATTTATCATAATATTTTAAAATTACGGGGTTTTACATTCACCCCTCCTTAAAGAGAATTTTGTCCCCGAAGTTCAGTAAATAATTATAAATCACCAGGTATGTGTCATTTATGCAATATTTACACTTAACATCTAGAATGTGAATACTCTCACTTAACCTCTAATTTAACGGAACTTGTACGTCGGGCAAAAAATCCAAACAAGGAACCCTCCATGTATATACCATATGTTCTGAATGTTTAGGTGTTAAGTGTTAATACCCACATTCTAGCGTGAAATGTAAAAATGCGGCTATATAGATAAAATGAACACTACCAATACTATCGTTAACAATATACCTGCTCGAACAGGTGTGGGTAATCGCAACGCATATCCTCTTCGCGCTACCAAGTAGCTTCTTGAGCTCCTTTCCTGTTCCACTGCACTTTAACTAATGGGATCACTTTATTCCTAAGTTTCTTGTCCTCTCTAGCAAGAATGTGAACTGGTATCTCAACTCTAGTCAAATCCATCTGAAGTTCTAAGTCTAACACATCAACCACTCTATGCTGCTCCTCGTCGCGTAAGTGTTTCTTAAGCATCGAGACATGAAAGACACCGTGTACACCCGACATCGATGCTGGAAGATCTAGTCGATACGAGATGGCTCCGACATGATCAATAATCCTAAACATACCAATATATCTTAGGGAAAACTTTCCCAGTCTGTCGAACTGTTTGACTCCCTTCATAGGAGATACATTCAATAAGATGTAGTCTCCAACTTGAAATTCTAAGGGTCGTTGCCTCTGATCTGCGTAGCTCTTCTGTCGACTCTGGGCTGCAAGAATATACTCCCGAATTATCGCTACCTTCTCTGTGGTTTCTCTCACAAGATCTAGTCCAAGCAGTAAGCTATCCTCCGACTCCACCCAACAAATCAGAGATCTATATAGCCTCTCATACAACGCCTCATAAAGAGCCATACCTATAGTTGATTGATAACTATTATTATAGGCAAACTCAATCAAGGGTATATGATCTTCCCAACTACCTTGGAAATCCAACACACATGCCCGAAGCATGTATTCCAATATTTAGTTGACTCTCTCTGTTTGGCCATCTGTCTGTGGGTGAAAAACACTGCTATAAGCTAACTGGCTTTCAAAAGTATTATAGAAGATCTTCCAGAAATATAATATGAATACTGAGCCACGATCTAATACAATTGTCTCTGGAACTCCATGCAATCTCACAATCTCCCAAATAAAAATTTTTACATAAGTCTCCGCCGTATGAGTTTTCTTAACTGGCAAGAAGTGCGCTCACTTTGTCAATCGATCAACAATCACCCAAATAGAATTATTTTCTTTGTTAGACATCAGCAAACTCACAATGAAATCCATTGAAATATCTACCCATTTTCACTCAGGATGGGTAAAGGTTGTAGGGTACACACGGGTCTCTGATGTTCTACCTTCACTTGTTGACAAGTAAAGCATTTAGATACATACTCCACAATATCCTTATGTATGCCGCTCCACCAAAAATGTCTCTTCAAGTCTTTATACATCTTAGTTGTACCCGGATGTAACGTGTATCTGGTACGATGTGCCTCATCAAACAATTCCTTCTTCAACTACGGACTATCGAGCACTACTAACTGGCCTTTCATTCAAAGACCCCCATCCGATCCAATGGTCTAATCTACCTTGGGCTCTTTAGAAATTTCTCCCTTTTGGGTTTGAATCCAAGAGTCCTCCAATTAAGCACTGACTACTCTATCAACCGATGATGGTTGTAATGTTAACACGCCCAAAAATGCACTGCATCCACCAACCTCTGGTATGAAGTCAAACTGACTGAGTGTAAGAATGTCTCGGTACAACGAGCATCTCAAAGCTACAAGTTTATGTCTACGCTTCGTACTCAATGCATCTGCTACGACGTTCGCCTTCCCCGGATGATACTGAAGTGTGAACTCGTAATCCTTGATAAACTCGACCCATCGCCGCTATCTCTAGTTGAGTTCCTTCTGAGAAAAGTGGTATTTTAGACTCTGATGACCTGTAAATAACTCGAACTGAACCCCATAAAGATAATGCCTCCACAGTTTAAGTGCGAAGACCACTGCTGCCAACTCTAAGTTATGAGTGGGATAAATCTATTCAAGAGTCCTCAACTGCCGCGAGATGTAAGCCACTACTCTCTGAGTCTGTATCAAAACACCTCCTAGTCCCGATAATGATGCATCTGTGTAGACAACAAAGGACTTGTCACTGCTCAGAATAATAAACACTGATGCAGTAGTCAACTTGGCCTTCAAAGTCTCAAAGGCTTTCTAACACTCAGACAAACTAAACACCCTTCTTTGTAAGGCGTGACAGTAGGGCAGCAATCTTGGAAAAATCCTGAATGAATTTTCTATAGTAGCCCGTAAGTCCCAAGAAGCTACGAATCTCTGTAACAGTCTTTAGCGGCTCCCAATCAAGAACTACCTCAACTTTAGCTGGATCAAATGCAATACCCTCCTTGCAAATGACGTGGCCCAAAAATCTAACTTCTGAAAGCCAAAACTTGCACTTGCTAAACTTCACATACAATCGATGCTCTCGTAAAGTCTGTAATGCTAAACGAAGATGCTACTCATGCTCGGCCTCTAACTTCGAGCAAATGAGGATGTCATCGATGAAAACAATCACGAACCGGTCTAAATATGGATCAAAAACTCAATTCATCAAATCCATGAATACTGTGGGTGCATTAGTTGGCCCAAATGACATAACAAGGAATTCAAAGGACCCATACCGAGTTAGAAATGTCGTCTTAGGAATATTCATCTCCCGTACTAGCAACTGGTGATAGCCAGATCAAAGATCAATCTTTGAGAAACACTATGCTCCCTAAAACTAATCGAATAATTCATCAATCCTCGGTAACAGATACCTATTTTGAATGGTGACTTTATTCAACTCACGATAATCAATGTATAGATGAAGACTGTCATCCTTCTTCTTCATGAAAAGGACTGATGCTCCCCATGGAGAATGACTCCGGTGAATAAATCCCTGAGAAATGAGCTCCTCTAACTGAGTCTGTAACTCTCTCACCTCAGCAGGTGTTATACGATAAGGTGCACGGGATATCGGTGCTGTGCTCGGCTGCAACTCTATGCAGAACTCAACCTCTCTCACTGGAGGTAATCTAGGTATGTTCTGAAAGATAATCCTGATACTCTGAGACTACTCTAGTCTCGTACAAAATGGCACCCTGATCCCGCAACGACACCTCCTTGATGTATGCCAAAAATGACTCCGCAAACTGTTTTCCCTATGAGGTTGTTACAATCAATTCAGTCCCATCGAATAACCTTATATATGTATATGTATATGATTCAACATAAAAAATTTTAAAAATGCACGTAAGTATGAAAAAGGGATTAACTCCTAATCTTAGTGACAATAGGCAACGGCATTTTGCCTAAATAGTAGACACAGGTGATAAATAAGAGAATACTAAAGATTTAAGCCATAGAATTTCTCAATTCTGACACAAGGTACTTATTAGATTGAATCAAATGATTTTGCCGTATCCAGAATAATACCAATCTAACCCATTTCATGAATAAAATGTGACTAATTAACCAACCAACAAAACTACTTGTTACAAATAACATCTTGTTGTTGTATCGAAACATAGAAATGTTGACTAATCTGGCTAACGTTGAACTTGGTAAAATGAAATGGTTGAATAATTGAAAAATTAGATTATTCAGGAATACACATTGAATGCTGAGATTACGCATTGAATTTCTGGTAGTAGATCCATAATCAAAAAAGTTTTTGTGATTGTTCCAGAAGAAATGAAACAAAAGATACGGTAGAACTAGGACAGTTATTGTATGAGGTCTACCCAATGCTAGATGCAGAGGCGCATAATAGATCGATATGAACATCATGAGCTACCACGTAATAAAACCAGTTGTTGCCGATACCTCCTTCTTGGTTCCTTCTTCCATAACCCGAGCTCGGAGAAGGAAGAGATAAGAGGGCCCTATGGTGGGGGGAAACGCCTACGAAAAGATTGCTTGGATTTACGAAAGGGTTGCTTGGATTTATCCATGGTTTATTCCTTATCTCTAAACTTCTATTTCTTTATTCATTTCAGATCAGTAAGAAGTTCTAGATGAATTGACAATTTCAATTCAAATCGAATAATTCAACCTATTCCACATTAATAGGAGTACATTTATGTTTCTGCTTCACGAATATGATATTTTCTGGGCATTTCTAATAATATCAGGTGCTATTCCTATCTTGGCATTTGTAATTTCCGGAGTTTTAGCCCTGATTAGTGAAGGACCAGAGAAGCTCTCTAGTTATGAATCAGGTATAGAACTAATGGGAGACGCTTGGTTATAATTCCGAATCCGCTATTACATGTTTGCTCTAGTTTTTGTTGTTTTTTATGTTGAAACGGTCTTTCTTTATCCATGGGCAATGAGTTTCGATGTATTGGGTGTATCCGTATTTATAGAAGCCTTAATTTTCGTGCATATCCTAATTGTTGGTTCAGTTTATGCATGGCGAAAAGGAGCATCGGAATGGTCTTAGTTGAATATTTAGACAATCAAAAAAAGAAAAACGAAGGAAAAGATTACATTGAGACAGTTATGAATTTGATTGATTTTCTGTTACTTGATCAAACAACCCCCAATTCAGTTATTTCAACTACATCAAATGATCTTTTGAATTGGTCAAGACTCTCCAGTTTATGGCCTCGCCGTGGGAGATTGGTGCTCCTTGAGGTATGCCTTTCCCGCTTGCTTCTTCTCTTATCTGTGTTTTCCATCCAGTGCCCGCACTACGTCAGAAAATCTGCATCTTCGATCTTTCTTCGCAACTTATAAATAAGTCGGAAACAGCCCAGGAACAACGACGCAATTATCATGGGCGCGCTCTACCACTGAGTTAATAGCCCCTCGTGCGGGCCTCCTAGTGGGAGGCCTGCTATGCCAAAAGCGAGAGAAACCCCACCCCTCTCTTTCCTTTTTGCGCCCCATGTCCCCCCCCGGCTAGCCGTGCATTTGTATGGTCTGGAGAGGCTTATTTGTCTTATAGTTTAGCTGCTTTATCTGTCTTTGGTTTTATCGCTTGTTGTTTCGTTTGGTTCAATAATACCGCAATGTATGCAAAAATAAAAGATTATTTCCAATTTTTTTAAATCAATCTCACGCAATTAATCCCTCGTTACCGCCCATAGGAGAAGTAATATGTAGGGATGATAGGATTTGAACCTGTGACATTTTTTACATAAAACAAATGCGCTACCAAGCTGTGCTACATCCCTTTTTAAAATGAAAATTGTTGTATATGCTTATTAATTGAGATAGATCTTATGCAATGGGATCAGTAAATAGAAAACCACTGATCTTTCATCTTTGTGAGATCGTCAATTTTGTACCAAAGGTGTATTTAGAGTATACCGAATCAGTATAGCTATCCTTCCTCTGGCGCAACAATGCAGTTTTGATCAGTATCGAAATAAAATACTACATAATTTCTTTCTTCTTTTTTATTCCTTGTCTATGCATAATTGTATGTTATTCAATAGATCAATAGAAAATTATACATAATTGGAAGTAACCAATTAGGTTTATGATAAAACCTAGAAATCAATCACTGATCCAATTTGAGTACCTCTATGGGATAGACCTCAACAGAAAACTATTGAGTAACAGCAGCAAGTGATTGGGTTCAGTAGTTCCTCATAGAAAATTATTGACTCTAGAGATATGGTAATATGGAGAAGACAAAATTGTTGGTTCAGTAGTTCCTCATAGAAAATTATTGACTCTAGAGATATGGTAATATGGAGAAGACAAAATTGTTCGAAGCACGCACAGAACCGGAAGTGCCCCTTGTTTCAAAGAGAGGACAAAGGGATCTATTCGTTGATAAGAAAAAGAAACAACGTAAATGGTGAT